GTGGAGACAGAGAGAAAATAAGGCTCCCTCCATCCACCTACACCACCTCGTACCCAGCACACGAGGTCCAGCCCGCGGCTGGGCCCTGGCGTGGGGGTGAGCTGCCGAACAGACGGGGGCCCCTGCCTGCGCGTCGCGGGGGTCAGCGGCTTGGGTCAGAGCCACAGTGCAAAAGCCGTTAGAACCGTTCGGATGTTTTGCTTTCTCTTTTAACAGCTGAGTCAATCTGATGCTCGTAAAATGGGTTAATAGCATAACCAGAGCCACTCGCCAGCCAAGCTGTTGCTGCGCAGCTTCTCCAGCTCTCTTCTACTCCTGCTGTGTCCTCAGACGCTGCATCACTTCTGATGCACGTTCTGCAGTGTTGCAGCTCATCTTACTGCAATCTGGCATTAATTGCTCTGCCATTTCATCATACAAGATAGATTCAGTAGTACTGAAATGCCAGAAGAGCAGCTGCCTTGAGATTGCAGCTCCAATATCGTTCATATTTCCTTATAAGGGTAAATAGAGCATTTTTAGAAATAACACCGTTTGTTTCCCCCTCTGGCTGCTTGGCAGGGTGTGTTCCCACTATTAAAGGGGATGGACGCTCCTATTACCACACTTCTTACCAAGCACAGTTTCAGGGTGAATGGAGTCCACCTGCAAAGCCAAGTGAAAAGGTAACGGCATGTTTTTGGGGAGGATTGAGACACAGCTGAAGGGCAGCACCTTCCCAGATTGAATTCTGTCCTGAAAGGGATGGGATCAGTGCACGTGAAAACGAGGTGGATGGAAAGACAGAGAGGGGAAATAGAGCTTGTGCTTTAACTGGCTGTTCTATAGCTCTCTTGGCTTCCCTTCAGCACTTGTCTTCTGTTAAATTTGGGGATCCCAGAAGTGGTGGATCTACGAGCGAGCAGAAACACGCCTACAGCGCGCTAGACAAGAGGACACCCAGGTATCAGCAGTAGAACCTGGTGGACGTCCCCAGGAACTGCTCTTTCTGATGAACATCGCTAGTTAAGCTCAAATCTGATATCTTGCAGGGCCTATGACAAGGAACACGCCGCCTCCCAGATCCACCGCACGAACCTGCAGCTGGGGGATGGTTGCACCAGGTTCTCCACCTCAACGTCAGAGCTCTTCCCAGCGCACGATCCAGGTAGGGCTGGTCTGTGACACAGCGGCAACATAGCCAGTCCCCTACTGAGGTTTATAATGAGCTGAACAGTAGGTTTCATCACTTGGTTTTGGTGATATAATTATAGATAAAGATACATTGCTTTCATAGAATACGTATACAATTTTGTACTTGTAATGTTTTATAGCCTTTATGTAGTCGGCATCAGTGTTGTCACTGTGAGGCTCTGTTTCATCCTGGCTCCACTTCCCTGGCAGATTAAAGAGCTGTGCTCATTCCTGTGCTCTGTGGCGTGGGGAGGATCTGCTGTAGCTATAAATTGTTCAGAGACTGGAGTGCTCTGACATCCTTCACTCTCGCTTTTGCCAGAGCCTGTAATTACTGCCCGTCCAAACAAATATGCCTCATCCATCCCCAGAGGTGATGAAGACCCCAAGAGAAATCAAGCTTTGGCAAGAATGACGACTGCACAGCTCTCCTACCCAGAGGTCTGTTCCCAGCACTGCTGTGTGGGTGTTTCTCTGGTGGAGACCCTCTCTTTTACAGACACTACTCTGGCGCCTACAGCCAATGTTGTTGTCCCTTCTCCCCACCCTGAGCTGTGCAGGGTGTAATGAGCAACACGGTGCCTTTCCCAACTGTTTCTGGTAAAGCAGCTCTTGCGTTCTCCAGCCTGACAGGTGGAACCTCCCACCGAAGCCTGACTTGCTCCTTCAGAAACGTCGAAGCAACGTTTGCTTGGGAGTTGAGCGCCCAGGCTCTCATTTCTTCAGCACAACACAGCAGGCAGATTATCAGCCGCCCCAACAGAGCCAGAGGGCGATGACAGACAGCAAGTCCCACCGTGAGAGCCACATCCCCTTCAACTACCACAGTAAGGCCACTTTGCAGAGACTGTCGCGGTGCCAGATGAAGACTGCTGAGGTTCTCTGAGCTCCGTGCAAGGGATGGTGATGCCTGGTGCTCTGGGAAAGGAGGCAGCCAAGACATCTCGGGCTGGAGATGGCAGGAAGGCGCTGGCGCAGCGTCATGTCTTTAGTAAAATGAGACTGCTACCCCGCTTTGATGCCCGTGCCAGCCGTAGGCATTCACTGCCATCAGCAGTGGTTTGCACGTTCAGGTGACGTGAATGATTTCTGGGACGTGAACCAGCGGCTTGATCTTTCTCCCTCACTACGTTTGTTTTCAGAAGTTGTTTTGCATTTGTATTTGGGAGGAAGGAGAGGATTTTGATCAAAAGCTGTGCTTGTGCAACCTCAGGAAGGGATGTGGTTAGAGCTGGTCATGGAAGGCATTAAGAAAATCCTGCTCTGACGTTGCCTCCTGTTTCTGATGGCCAGTACTCTGCAGCTAAGAGAGAGGTCCCTTCATGCCGTGTATCTGGTTTTAAGCCATTTGCTTTGCTAAATATGGAACAGACCACATTTGAATTGATCTTTTCCTCGGCCCCAAACTTCTGGAGCAGCTCCATAACTAGCATATGGAGTGATATTCCAGTAACTGCCGTGTGGATTTCTTCATTTACCACCTCACCCTGAGAGTTGTTTTCTGTTTGGGCAAAGGTTTTCAGCAGAGTGCTGACAGCAAAGCCTGTCCTTTCCTCTTGTTAATGGAAATGCTTGCAGATCTGCGACTGCAAGTCAAACTGCAAAGCTTTTCTGATGTTGCCTCCTAATTTACTGGCTTGATTTTAATTTTTATTTCAATTCCTTCTGTCAGCAGATGAAGATTCTATCACAACCATGCGGGCCACACTGGTCCCACACAGCCAGCAGAAACAGCGACCCTCTGAAGACATGCTACAGAAGGTAGAGCCTTAATAGGCTTGGATTTACCACCCGGCAGCTTAGGGAAGTGGGTTTATACCAAGTGAAGCTGTAGCCTCCCTGTTAACATCATCAGTTCTGGTGTGAGCTCTTGAGCTGCCCGGGGAGGGTAACCCCTCAGCTGGTAACATGGGGCTCAGATGTAAGGGCTGCCAGTTTCTACGTCATCACCAGCCCCAGCCCCACGTGCTGAAAGCTCTTCCCTCTCCTCAGATCAAGTGCTCACACCTGGGGCTACCCTGGAGGACGCAGGAGCTCTTCAGGACTGAGCAGAAAGATGAGTTCACGCTCAAGACCAGAGGCCCAGCAGAAATCCAGAAGGCAACCTCCCGAGTGAGCTGTGTCCCACTGGGAACCCTGAAAAGATACTATCCCCAGAGGAAGGTGCTCTTTGCACCATGATTTTCTTCCTTTTCAGTGACCACCCAGAACTTGCTGCACTGTGGACTGCCCACAGGTCGTGTTACCTGCTAGCCATCCCGGTGTCCCCCTCTTGGCCTCTCTGTGTGTTATCACAGGGAACACTTATTTCTCAAACTGAACGAGGACACAAGAAGGTGTTGTGACAGCAAGAATAAACACTGGGAGATTAGCCCAAAGACGCGGGTGACACATCTCTCTGGGTTGTGAGACCCACCAAGTGCCTCTCGGCAGGCACTGGGGCAAGAGGAAACAGGTGAGGTAGGGGGAAGCTCAGAGCAAGGGCAAAGGATCAGAGGCAAAGTGAGAGGCTGGAATAGTCCCTTATTATCTGTTTGGATTTTGGTGTCAAGGCCTGAAACCAAAGGTCAGTGAACAGTAGGACAGAGAGCTGGCTCTGCCCAGCTTATGATGAGTGGGCTGTTTTCCCAGAGGTGAGCCGTGTGTTTTTGTTGCGCTGATAAGTCACGTGATTTTCCTGAATGCTGAGCTTGCACTATCTCTGTTTGGGATGTGGGTATTTTAAAGAGGGATCAGTGTGGGCTGGCTGGCCCCCCCCCTTGAGAAGCCAGGGGGGCCGGGGCAGCCGCTGCCTTGTCCCCGCTGCCAC